CATGAGCTCAAGAGGGCACAGGGGAGGGTTCGGGAATTAGGGAGTGGTGGGGAGGGGACAAACAAGGGGACACAGAGCTGAATGAGATGGAGTAGTCTGGGGACCTTGAACTTCACGTTCAGAGGGAGGACAGGACTCATGAGATCCATCCTAGGGTCTGCAGGGGCGGGGAGCAGTGGGAAACAAGGGTCATGGGTTTTGCTGGGGAGGAGGCCAGCGAGGGCAGCCTTACCTAAGGACCCTCCTGGGGTCCTAGCCGGGGCAAGGAACGGGGGGGGGTGCACTTGGCTCCCAGGTGCCCCCAGACAGTGGTGGCTGGCAGAGAAGAGGTCACTCACTGCTCGCTCACCAGTCAGAGCGGCCCCTGGCGCCTAACCCAGGAAGTCACAGCGAAGGACCGGGTGGGGTGACCGCCCTGAAGAAGCCTCATTCTTCCCGCTGCGGTACCCCAGTCCCACCCCTGCTAGAGGAACTCACTCCACAAACGCTCCCCGAGAAATCCCACCCAAGGAGGCACGTGCTTCTGGACAGGCAGAAGCAGCGGGATGCTGCGCCCCTCCGGGTCCTCACAGGCCTGCCTCGCGCTCTGCAGTGCTCGCCCCAAAGCTGCCTGTCCCAGTCTGCAGCTCGGTCTCTCCAAGCCCGGCCCCTGATCTAAATGCCTGGAGAGCTCCACACTCCCACCGGGACACCCTTCTGGCTCTCTGTCTTCCTCCTGAGCACAGCCGCAACCTGAGCACCCGTCTAGACTCCAGTCACGAAGTTCTGTTCCCTCTATTTTCATGTGGATGCTCCACCTTTGCCGCCTCACATCCCCATCTCGTCCACTCTGTCACCTCTCCCCTGGCTGACAGCACCAGTGTGGCCCTGGCTCTCGTGCCTCCCTCCAGAGCCTTCTCCATCCGCCAGGCCTGGCTATCCCTGCTTGGGAGGGGTTCCTCCATGGTGCCCCACCGCCCCGGCAAAGCCTTCTTTCACCACCCTTCTGGCTGCCTGGTGTCTAACCAGGGCTCCGCACGGCCCGCCTCCAGTCACTGCTGCCCTGCCGCTGTGTGACCCCTGCCTTGGCCTGGGAGGATAACACTCCGTACCCTAAACTCAAGACAAAACAATCTGCTTGTTGGCTGGAGCAGGACAAAATCCAGAACAAATTTTCATCTACCCCAATCAGTCAATGGCTGCTTTGTAAGATTCTGGAAGCGGCCAGTCGGGATGGCTCCTCACAGACATGGCCAGGCAGCGGGCACCGGCCACGCAGCAGGCATCAGCCCCGCCCTCAGCCCTCCTGCCTCTTCAAGGTGGCCACTCCTTATTTATATTTTTAGTTTGGTTTTTTTCTGAGACAGGGTCTCCCCATGTAGCTCAGGCTGGCCTTGAACTCACTACATAGCCCAGTGATCCTCCTGCCTCAGTCTCCTGAGTGTGGAATCACAGGTGTGCAACACCACGCCCTGCAAGGCAGCCGCTCCTGAACACCACACACAGTGCAGTTTGCTCAGAGAGGGTCCTGCCACCAGCCCGCTTCTGCTCTAGCAAGACACTGGCGGCCTTGCTGCCTCTCCCAAGCAGTCTCTCTCCCAAGCAGACTCTCCCAGTCCCGCCCAGGCCCCCGGTGCCCTGCTATTTCCTACTCCTTCCCAGTAGCACTTCCAGAGCCAGATTCCACCCAGGACCCTGGGCGCCCAGCACAGGCCCAGCGTCGGGGCCGGGGCTGGGGCTGGGGCTGGGGTAGCTGAGCTGAGTAAGTTGGCAGGTACTGAGTGAATGCTGAGCCCTGGAGGGGCGCGGGGAGGAGGGAGGGCCTCCTGCAGCCTTGCTGCGCCAGGTGGACACAGTCTAGATCACCATGAATGTATAGTGCAGACAGAAGTGTATGAAAGTTACACGAATACCTGTACACATGCCGGATTTGAAGGGAGACAAAGTGCATGCCTGGGTACCTACCGCCCAGGTGAGGCCGGCGGACACGGGCAGCACTTCAGAAGCCTCTCCGTGTCTGCCTCACCACTCAACTTCCTCCTCCTCCACGCCACTATTTCAACTTTTTGTTTTATGTTGTTTTTGTTTTTTGAGACAGCATCTCACTATGTAGTTCAGGCCTGTCTCAAACTCACAGTGAGCCTCCTGCCTCAGCCTCCCTAGTACTGGGATAACAGGCCTGCACCACCATGCCTGGCTTCATCAACTTTTATTTTTTAATTTAATTTTTTTTCTTTTTTCTTTCTTTTTTTTTTTTGTGGCACTGGGGATTGAATCCAGGGCCTTCACCCTAAACTGCATCCCCGGCCTTTTCTGAGACCGGCACTCCATGAGTTGTCCAGGCTGTGACCCTCCTCCCCCAGCCTCCCGAGTAGCTGGGATTGGGGGCGTGTGCCAGCACTCCCAGCACATAGCCCAGACAGGCCTGGAGCCTCTGACAATTCCCCTGCCTCAGCCTCCCAAGTGCTGGGGTCACAGGTATTTGCCACCATGCCTGGCTCCCAACTGGTAACTGTTACCTTGCCTTTCTTCAGTTACATCACCTATGTCAGTCTCTCTCCATGGCAGTACTCAGTTCTGAGAAGCTGTGGCTCTCAGGAGCAGGGCAAGGAGCACACTGGCTCAGTGAACTGTGTGTCATCAGGAACTGGGGGACTCAGGGAGACCTCTACACATGAGAATTGGGCCAGGCTCACCTGGGCGTTCTGCCTGACGGTTCAGAAATATGAAATAGTGGCAAGGACAACATGTGATCTGCCTGTCCCTGGGGCAACTGTTCTCCAGGGGATTCCGTGCACCTCCTCTTTCCTCTAATATTCCAAATTGGATCTTGTACTTGTATCTTTGTTCCCTCTTTCCTGGTTTCTTTTCTTACTTCGGTGGAGATCTGTGTGTCTGAAATGTCTACACTGAGGCTCTTACTGAGTGTTCACATGGTTTATTGATAGTTTGGCTGGGTATAGAATTCTGGGTTGGACATTGTTTTCCTTCTACATTTTGAAGTTATTGCTCCACTGTTTTCTTCCTCCAACTGCCTCTATTTCATGGCCTTTCCACTTGCTTTTCTTTTTAAATGCTTATAAAATTGCTTTTTACCTCCAGTGTTCTGAAATTTCACAGCCATGTGGCTGGGTGTGGGTCAATTTTCATATTGCAATGGGAGTCACCTGCTACATCCTTTCTACCTGACCACTGCTCATCCCATTTGACTCTGAAAATATGTCTTAAATAATGTCTTTGACAGTTTATTACCCTCTATTTTCTCCTTCCTTTCTGAAACTTTGGTTAATAAAATAATTGGTCCTTAAAGTAGAAATCTAATTTTTTCTGATCTACTCTTTCTTATTTACCATCTCTTCATCACTTCAATCAACTTAGTTTTCCTCAACCCTTTTTGTATCATTCTATTTGGTTTTTAATTTCTGCTGCCAGTTATTGATTTCCAGTAGCTCTCTTTGTTCTCTTACATAGATTTTTGTTATGTATGATGTCATGCATGTGTGTGCACGTATTCCATGTGTCTAATAGCTCCTGTCTCTCTTAGGATAATGATGGCCATTTCTCCCATTTTCTTTCCCTTGCACATATTTTTGTTTGTTTTCTTGGGTGAGGCTTTTGTTTCTGTTTGCAGTGCTGGGGATCTGACTGAGGGTCTGCTAGGGAGAGTTCTACCCAAGCCACACCCCATTCCCTACCAGCATAGTTCCTGGATTTTTTTTTTTTTAATTTCGGTATTTTGAGACAGGGACTCACTATGTAGCCCTGGCTGGCCTTGAACTCTCAGCAATCTGCCTCAGCCTCCCAGGAGCTAGGATTACAGTTGTGCACCACCATGCCCAGCTATAGTTCGTGATTTTGCCAGTTGCTTTTTAGCTGCTGTTTCAGTCTCTCTTCCCCTCCCCCTCCCTCTCTCGCCAGCTGACACAGCAGAGGTGATTTACTGTACACACCGCTGAGAACAGAACTAGTCCAGAATGCCACAGGTCCAGGGCAAAGGATGGTGCTCTAGGTATAAGCAAGACAGGTCCCTCACAGGTGGTCTTGGCCATCAGGTGCCCATGAAGTCCCAGGTCCACTGAGACACATTCTAGACAGTGGACAGCAGCACACAGTGGACAGCTTGCACAGCGTCCCTGGGCTCCTGCACTCCTCCTGTCAGCCCCTCTGGCCTCCAGGGTCACAGCTAGCTTGCGTGGATCTCAGCCTCATCTTTTATCTGCTGCAGCCTGCGCCCTGGCTTCTTCCTCCAGCAGTCTGTAGGAAGATGGCGCCAAGGCCAAGAGTCTGTCTTTTGAATCAGGACCCTCCCTTCCAGCTCTAAGGCTCTTCAGCTGCTTGCTCCTGATAAGAATTGAGGGACTTGGGAAGCTTCTTGCACAGCAACCTAATCACTGGATAATTAGCTCTTCAGCCAGGCAGTCTAAGAAGACCGGTCAGCTGTGCATGCTCCCAGACCTGCTCCACTGGGAGACAGCTAACACCACTCCCAGGCTCCCCCATGTGAGTGTGGCCATGTGACCAGCTCAACACAGTGGACAATAGCAGAGGCCACCGGCTGGCCCGTCAGCCCCAGCCCTGGGTGCTCTGTCCCCTGTGAGGTGGGAAGCAGGTGTGGGAGCTCTGTTGAAAATGAGGCAGCCTGGATCCCTGAATCTCCACCCAGAGCCCGCTGCTGCCCAGGAGCACCTGGCTCTGAGAGGTGAAGGGCAGCAGTGCAGGCCTCGCTCTGGGGGTGGCAGAGTGGTCACGTAACCCACCTATGAGCCAGACAGCAGAGCCTGTGCTTGGCCGGGATGGAGTAGCAGGTACTGGAGTTACCTCTTCCGGGGATAAGGAAACAACAGGACTAGGGAGAGGAAACACAGGCCCCCCCACACTGCACAGGTCAAGGACAGCTGGTCACCCTGATGCCAGGTGCCTTAAACTCTTGCTGGAAAAACAGGATGGTTTAAAAGTAAACAAACAAATGCCGATGGCTGCAACAGTGCCCAGTCCTTCCTGTCTTCTTTGCTGCCTTCCAGGACATCGTACCGAGATGGCTCCCCTGTCCGTGCCAGCCTCAAACCCTGGTGGGGCGCCTCTGCTCGCCATCCAGAGATCCCGCGAGCCACAGGAGGCCAGGCGCGAGTGCACGTGGGAACTCGCCTCTTCCTGGGCCAGCTCTCCCGTGTTGCCTAGGAAACGCCCAGGCCTCCAACACCGCGCAGCACTGAGAGCAGCTTGGACCCGGCCTCTGCGCGGGGACACCCGGGACTCTGCGCTGCAGGAGGTGCCCGGAGGGCGGGGCTTTGCTGGTAGGCGTGGCCTAGAGGTGAGCGGGACTAGCGGGACCCCGGTGCGTGGGCGGGGCCTGCGGCAGAGGAAGATGGCGCCGCGCAGGCTGGGTGTCTCCGTCCTCTCGGCTCCGATCGTGCTGCTGCTGCTGCTGCTTCTCCTCGGGCCCCGGCCCGCGGCGAGCCACGGCGGCAAGTACTCGCGGGAGAAGAACGAGCCGCCGCCGCCCGCGTCCCGCGAGCCGGGGGAGGAGTTCCGCATGGAGAAGCTGAACCAGCTATGGGAGAAGGCCCGGAGGGTGAGCGGGCCGGGCCAGGGCGGCGAGGGGGCCGGCGGGATCCTGGAGGTGACAGGTGAGGGGGAGGGGGCGAGCGGAGTGCCGGGTTCACTCAGGGCGAGCGGGAGGCCGGGGCTCCTGCAGCCCTGACTCCGCCCTGGACCCTCAACCCAGATCCCCCATCCCCGGTGTCAGATGCAGCCCCTCTGCAGTGGGAGGGACCTGGGCACGCTGGGACCTGACCCCAGCTGCAGCGGTTCGGACCCCAGGGCCAAGCCCGGCCTAGCCAGCTCCCTCTGGAGAAACAGGGACAGGTGGTATTGGGCACAGGCATGTGCAGGGACTGCAGAAGTCCCAGAAGCCCAGGGTGGGGGAAACGGCTGGGAGATGGGTGGGGAAGGCTTCGGTTTAGCGCAGGAGACCACGGAATGCTGACCCGAACTGAACTGGTATCTGACCACTCCCTTTTGGAGATGAAGGTTACAGGGCCCCAGGGGAAAGGGCATCCTCAAAGTCATCAGAGGCTGCAGATTTCTACCTGCTCTCAGGAACACAATGGCTGGCTCCTGCTCAGGGATGGGGATTTAGATTGGGACCCACCTATCTGGCCCTTACCTCTTTATCTCTAAAGTGGAGGGAGATTAGTTCCTCCCATAAGTACTCCAGTGTAGCCTTCCGGAGTTTTTCAGAGTAAATAATTTGCAAAATAAGTTTCAGAAAGGAGAAGTGGAGAAACTTTGGCCCTAGAGGAAGAGGGGGAGGCTAGTGTGCCCCCCCCCCCGGCAGGGGGGCGGGGAGCAGGATCCCCTCACTGCTGCTCCTGGCCCCGCCTTGGGGTGCTGCTGGGTGGCCCCCTGTGCAGCCTTCAGCCTGTGGGGAGAATAACAGCTCTGTGGGCAGGGAGGTGGGGTGGCTTCCTGGAGGAAGGGCTCAGGGCACAGCTGGCATGGATGTGACCAGAGGCTCCAAGCAGCAGGGACCAGGAGCTGCTGTCCCCCAGTGCCCACAGTAGTGTGTGCCGAGCCAGGAGCCATTGACTGGGTGCAGTTTCCCCATAGGAGAGGTTTGGGGAACCTGGAAGACACTGGTCGGATGGAGGCCTCTGGTTCTGTCCGGAGTTGGCCCCAGGCCCCCTGCCTGGGTGGCTCCCCCAGCCCCCTGCCTGGTTACCTCCCCTCCTGCTTCGCCTGCTTGGCCCCACACCGCCTGTCTTTGTCACGTGTCCTCTGTTCTCCAGTTTGTTCGCAGTCACTGCTGGGTGCCTGCTCTCCTGGCCCTGCCTAGGCTTTGGGCTATGAAACCTTTCCAGTCCTGTGAGCCTTTTCTGCCTGACAGGAAGTTGTTCCTTGTGGGCTTCTGTTCTGGGGTCTTCAGAAACTCAATCTTACTGCCAAAAGTCTGGTTATTGAGGACAGCCTTACTTTGCTGGTTTCCCATCTAGATGTGGAAGCCTCCGGGGTGGCGGTAGAGCTAGGTTCCGGAGCTGAGCAGGCTCTTCCTTCACCCAGCATGGCCTGCACGTTCCCCAGGCCCTGGGGGAACCGGAGGCTGGGGGTTCTGTGACCCGCTGGCAGAGGCAGAGAATTGTGAGGTGAACAGTTGTTCAAGATGCTTCCTGCCCACCACCCACCCGCTGCTTTGGGTGGCTGTGACAGATACCACTGAGCCCCTCTCTGAAAGAACCGCAGTGCAGGGGTGGACCAGAGTCGGGTGCTCCCCGGGAACCCTGCCCTCAGCTTTCGCTTCTCCCTTCACCGGCCAGGAGGGATTTGTGCATTCCAATCTGCCTGAAAACTTAAAACATCTCTTTGTTTTCCGCAGCCTATCATTGTATGTGGGGTCAAGGAGAAAGTGCAGCACAGCAATTGGCAGCCCCTTTTCTTTCTGACTCCCTGAAGCTGAGACCAGCCTTGAGTCCGGTGCCTTGGGAAGGCAAGGACTGGGAAGACGAAAACGTGATTGCTTCAGCCTTCCCAGCCCTTGCACCCAACGCCACACCACCCTGTTCCTGTTTCCTAGCCGCTTAGATGAACTATGAGTCCGAGCAGTGGGGCCAGATGCACAGTGCTGTGATGCAGTGGGTGCCTGAGCAGGGACAGAAGCAGGGCTGCCTTGGAGCCGGGGCAAGAGGTGCCTTGGTGGTGGCTGCCATGTGCCTGTCCAGACCTCTAGGTGGCTTCTCTTTCATGGCTGCTGTGTATTAGGGTGACATCAGGGGGAATGCGCTCCACAGGTCCACGTGATGCCACCGCAGCAGTCAGGGCCAAGTTCCTGTCACCCTTGGCCTGGGAGCCTGGGAGCTAGACTTCCTATTTCTTTTTTCTTTTTCTTAGTACTGAGGATCGAACCAGGGTCTTGCACATGCTAGGCAAGTGCTCTGCCACTGAGCTACCCCTCCAGCTCTTGCTTATTTGATTTTGAGATATTGCTGAGCTTCCCAGGCTGGCCTTGAATTCACCATCCTGCCTCAGCCTCCAGAGTGCTGGGATTACTGGCATGCACCACCACACCTGGCTCAGTTTGTGCTTTCTGACAGGAGAGGTGAACACCTGTCACCTGGCAGGAAAGAGGCACAGCATGAGAGGTCAGACGTGCTACCAGAGAGCAGCAGGACCCCAGCGCCCGGCCCCATGGCTGCCTGCTTCCAGTTCCTGCTCTGTGTGCACCGGGCAGGGCTGGACATCACGTCACACTTTCCCACACCGAGGGAAGGCTGGCCGAGGGCCTGGCCCAGGCATCCTGCCCCAGTGGTGTCCTGCACTGGCCAGGCCAGCCACAGGGCAGGGTGGGGCGGCACCCTTGGCCGTGGTCCTTGGAGACCCAGGCAGGGCAGGCACTCACTCAGCTCAGCCGATCTGCGCGAGGGGAACAGGTGGCTGCGCTGCTGTGGTCCGTCGTGTCTTACCCTCCACCCCACAGGCCCCTGGCTCACCCTGGCCCAGGTTCGGTGCTGTGGCCTGGTCCTCCGCTTGGCCAGCGTGCACATCCCCACCTGGGGATGGCACAGCTGTGGGTGGGTGCCGGGGTCAGGTGGCCCCCGCTGGGCCCACTTTCCTGTGGGTGTCAAGGAGGAAGTGGAGGACTCACATTGGCGCTACAGGCCAATGTGGCTCCTCCCCAGCTCGTTAGGGAGAGCGCCTTTCCTCCTTTTGTGTGTCGAATAAATCCCTACCCCCTTCCTGGAGGTCAAACTCAGGACCTTGTACTTGCAAGGCAGTCAGTGGCACCACTGAGCTACACGCCCCCACACCCCCCAGCTCTGTCGCCTAGATACTGATGATTTACTCACTGCTTAATGTTTGACCGTTTGAACATTCCTTTTCTTTTCTTTCCTTTTTTTTTTTGGTCCTTGCGCTTGTGCAGCATGCTGCGCAACCACTGAGCTAAATCCCCGGCCCAGACCATTCCTTTTCTTTTCATTTTTTGTGGTGCTGGGGGTCAAACCCAAGACCTTGTGCAGACTAGGTGTGCACTCTACCCTGAGCCACGCCCAGGCCTGGTGCAGAGTGAGGAGCAGCTAGCTCTCTAAGGAGAGGGAGGAGTCCAGAAGCCAGGCCAGGTGTGTGTGTGACCCACTGGGCCCCTCCTCTGCTTGCCGCTGATGGCTGCTGTCCGGTGGCTCTGGGCCCTGACCCTCGGCCCCTCGGCCCTGAGCTGCTTTCAAGGACAGGAAACAGATGCAAGTGTCCAGTGTGTTTGTAGACCCCAAATCCAGGGACCGCAGGGTCAGTGATCTGAGAGGGCAGGACGGTGGCACCCAGGCGTGGCATGGGCTTCCACAGCTCAGGGCACCTTCCCATGTTCACCCAGGTTGCCCGGGGTGGGGTTGATGGAGGGCATGGGCGCCTGGGGGGAGCACTCACACTCAGGCCTGTGCGGAAGGGCTGGGGCAGTTGCCCCTCAGGGTGCTGGAGCTGGGCACTGGCCGGGAGGTGAAGGGCACCTGTGAGGCCCCTCACCACCTCCGTGACCCTGGAGCGACAGGGTGACACTGCTGGGCTTCACCCAGGGCCTGGCTTGTCAGCAGCCAGGCAGAGTTGACGATGCCGTGGCCCGTGTCTCTCCCTTCTCTCCATTCTGACCTGTCATCCTGATGTGGGGACACTGGTCAGGCTTTGCACGTCAGCCACTAAACTCCACCTTTTCTTTTTCTTCCTTTTTTTCTTTTCTATGTTTTTTCTTTTCCTTTTTGGCACTGGGGATTGAACCCAGGGCCTTCTAATTGAGCTACACCCCCAGCCCTTTTTTAAAACTTTGAGACAGGGCCTCGCTAAGTCCCTACTTTGCCCAAGCAGGATTTGAACTAGTGATCCTCCTGCCTCAGCCTCTCAGAGTGCTGGGATGATGGGTGTGTGCCACGCCCAGCTAAACTCTGTCTTTAAAAGCCTACAGCAGTGTGCCCAAGGTCCATCTTCCACTAGCCCAGTGTCAGCCTGGTGAGGTCAGGTGGACCGGGCCTGGCCAGGGCAGGGGAGCTGCAGAGGGGCCGAGCCCAGCCCAGCACCGCAGGTGAGGGGTGGATTGTTCCGGCTCCAGGGTCTCTTTTAGGCGCACCTCAGTTCCGAGAGACCCTGATGTGTCAGAGGAGGGCTGGGGGTCCCAGGGACAGGATTGTAGGACTTTTCAGGGCGCTTCGAAGCTGCACTCTTTGTCTTCCTTTTGCCGGGCTGAGATCCAGCATCCAGCACACGGCCCGTCAGCCCCGCTGCTGGGTCCGGCCACCCGCTGGGCAGCCAGGCCTCTGGTGGCTTCGGGTGGGGTTGTGGGATTCTACTTGGAGGCCAGGCCATGGCTGAGCGGTAGAGCACTTACCTAACCTGGCCAGGCCCTGGGTTCTGTCCCAGCTGCCCAAGTGGAAAGGCTTTTGTCTGATGTTTCCTGCACGCTCGCACCCTGCTCTCAGGGCTGCACTTTCTCCCCACGCCCTGCCTTGCGCCCTCGCCTTCCCACCCCACCTGCTGGTGGACGGCGCCAGGTGCCAGCCTAACAGGTGGCGTTCCCAGGTCACAGCCCCGTCATTTCTTGAGCTGCCCACCGCATCCTGGAGCTCTCTTCCGCGAACCCGTGCAGGGTTTTGAGTTCTCCTCCTGGTCACCGGGAGCTCCCAGTGGCCGCTGCCCTCCAGGCCAGCCTCGGCTGCGTCCTTGGGGTCACACGCAGCTCTTGTCTTGTCGGCAGCTCCATCTCTCTCCTGTGAGGCTGGCCGAGCTGCACGCTGACCTGAAGATGCAAGAGCGGGATGAGCTTAACTGGAAGAAGCTGAAGGTGGAAGGGCTGGACGAGGATGGGGAGAGGGAAGCCCTGCTCGTCCGAAATCTCAACGGTGGGTCTGCGTTTGTCCGTCCCAGGGAGGAGCTGAGTGGCCTCACTGGCACTGGCTTCTTGCTGGTGCTGTGAGATTTGGGGCCAGGACAAGGGGCATCGGGTCTCAGCTCCTGCGCTGAAGCCTGAGTGGGTTGGCAGACAGACCCCAGGCCTGGGGCCCGCAGGGACGCTGTGCTGATTGAAACAGAAAGCAGCTGCGTCCCCAGGGTCTGACGTTCTGGGGCTGATGTCAGGCGTCAGGAGAGCCCCACTGTGACAGTCGGGGGACTTGATGGTGCTGCACTGTGGTGAGCTCCTGGTCACTGTGGGCATCCAAGACAGGTGGGGACAGAGTAAGGTGATGGACGAGGGGCGGGAGGCCTGGCCGGCAGGGGCTGTACACAGAGCTGCAGCACTCAGAAGGCACCACATGCCGCTTAAGCCCAGGCCACTGGATGGGAAGAGATCCTGCCCCGGCCCTGTGCTGGGCCCTGACCGCCCTGTCCGCAGCGGGGCCTGCTCTCGGGCTCCCCACTGAGTGCTGATGACGCGGCACAGGGGTTAGGGCCAGGGTGCCTTCAGCGGGCAGCAGCGCACTCTGGCCAGCCTCCCCCGAGCTGAGCTGCCGGCACTGTCCTGGGGGTGAGCACGGGACGCGGCGCCAGGCTCTGGCTGTCACCCTGTCCAGTGCACTGTCCTCGGTCCGTACCGGGCTCTGCAGCAGTCTTGTGAGCCCGTGCCGCTGGCGGAGGGCACGGTCCTGCCCTGGCTTCCACCAGACCTGTGGGTCACCGGGAGACGGGGCAGGGAACCCGGGCGGTGAGGCGCAACCCCCAAGACAGCTCCCGGCCGCTCCCCTAGTCCTCCTGGCCAGGTACGGGCTGGACGGCAGGAAGGACGCGCAGGTGGTGCACAGCAACGCACTGGCCGACGACATGCAGGACGACGGGCTGGGTGACCCCCGGCTGGAAAAGCTGTGGCACAAGGTATGGGCTCCCCCTTGGGGGCTTGTCCAGGGGATGTCAGGGTGGGGCCGGGCGGGCGTCTCGGGCGGACGCTGGACTCTGCTCACTGTCCGCTGTGGGTCGTCCTGCTTTCCCGCTTGGATTACTCCTGCTCTCTCCAAGGGAAGTCTGTTCAGCTTATGCTGTTAGAGCTGCACGCACTAAGAATGTGTTCAGAGCGGGGCGTGGGGGTCCACGCCTGTAACCCTGGCCTTCAGAAGGCTGAGGCAGGAGGATCATTGGTTCAAGTCCAGCCTGGGCAACTTAGCAAGACACACTCAAAAACGTTTTAAAAGGCGGTGGGTGCTGGGGATGGAGGTCAGTGCAAGGCCCTGGGCTGAATCCCCAGGACACCAAAGACTGTTCAGATTATGTGGGGTTACAGTGTATTTCCTGAGCCACCACCCAGTTGTGGCTGGATTCTTTACTTGTATCTGACACTTAAATGTGGCCTGGAGGCCGGCTTCTGTAGCCAGGAAAGGTGCCCTCAGTGGGCATGTCTGTCTGTCTGTCTGTCTGTCTGTGCTGCTGTTCCTGGGAGGGGTGGGTGATGCTTGGGGTGCAGGCTGGGCGTTGCAATGTGGCGCGGTCTGCTTGGCCTGTCCTCTCCTGGCTTGGTCCGGAGCAGTGCACCATGGGCCCAGGAGTTGGGATCCTGTACTAACCGAGGTCCTGGGGCTGGGAGGAGCAGGAGGGAGAGGAAGTGGGGAGCGGCCTGAGGCAGGTGGGGTGACAGGACTGGCGGATGCCCCCAGGGAAGTAGCCCTGCTGTCCTCACCGGCCGCAGCCAGGACAGGTGGGCACAGCCGGCAGCCTGGCCACACTGCCCGCCACCGAGTCTGGGCGCTCAGGGAGGGACAGCGACCCCCACTCCTCTCCAGCTTGGGGTCCGGTTTCCCGCCCCGTCCAGTAAAGGGTCAGAGGCTCGCTCGGAGGGCAAGCAGAGCCTCACATGGGGCTCTGGGGGGTCCCACCATCCCCTGGGGTGGTTGGCGGAGAGCAGGTGGCAGCCCCAGGCGTTCAGCCGGCCCTCCCTCCCTGCCAGGCGAAGAGCTCGGGGAAGTTCTCCAGCGAAGAGTTGGACAAGCTGTGGCGGGAGTTCCTGCACCACAAAGGCAAGGTCCACGAGTACAACGTGCTGCTGGACACGCTGAGCAGGACTGAAGGTGCGCCTGGCGGGCACTCCCCGTGGGCAGCGCCGGCCCTGTGTGCTGCGGGCAGGGCCTGCTGATGGGACCGCCACGCTCTCGGGTTCCCTGGGCTCTGAGAGTGGTAACCGGGTGTTAGTAGTTGCACATGTGCAGTTGGTCAGATGGAGCACTGCTTGTGAAGCATCCACCCCGACTGGCGTGGTCTCCTCCCCACAGAGGACCTCGAGAGCCTCAGAGCCCATGGAGCCTGGGTGCGTCAGGCAGCTTTCCCGTCTCTGGACATAGCTCCTGGCACCCACAGCCTAAAAGAGGAGTCCATGGTCGGCTGCTCCAGGGCGTGGGGACCAGAGGTGCTCAGTCTGGGGCAGCTGGAAGCAGAGCAGGGGAGCAGTGCCAGAGAGGAAGGGGCGAGGGGGCAGCTCAGGTCTCCAAGGCCAGCCTCTGCGACTGCCCAGACATAGCAGCGAGCTCTCGCAGCCCTGGGCGGCTCCTGTGGCTCCTCCCCAGTCAAGGAGACGCAGTCAAGCTTCCGGTGACACTGGGGCCGAGGGCCTGGGGGCTGTAGTGGGGTAGTGGACGCGGCCTCTGCAGCGGCACTGGACGGCGTGCGTGTTTCACGCTGTCTGGTGCTTGGAGGCCACGTCAGCTGGCCACCCCTGTCCAGGAGCTGTAGAGGTGACTGAAGGGGACACACCGAGGAGAGGATGGGGCTTCTGACTATAGGTGAAGCGGTGGTGGCTGAGCTGTAGGTGCTCGGCTCCTTTGCTCAGAGCCCATCAGCGAGCCCCTCCCCATCTCCTGAGGCCTGCCACACAGTGTGCAGGAGAGTTTGGACTCGGTGGGTGTGGCTCTGAGGCGCACTGGGGCAGAGGGCCTCCTGCTCGGCCCTCACCGGCTCCGCCCCTGCATCACAGAGGCCTACAGCAACGCCGTCGCCCCCGTGGACCTGAGCCCCGGCAAGGGCGAGGCCCTGTACGGGAAGCACAGGGAGCTCAAGGAGAAGCTGCAGAGCATCAACCAGGGCTTTGACCGCCTGCGCAAAGTCAGCCACCAGGGCTACGGCCCTGCCGCAGGTGAGCCGCGCCCCTCCCGGGGCAGCCCTGTCCCTCACACTGGCCCGGTGGTGGCAGCCCCTTCCAGGCTGCGCCCCCAGCCTCTCAAGTGGAGCTCCTCCCTCCCCCTCCTGGTAGCTGCGTCCTTTGTCCCACGCTGCTCCCTCACGTCCCTCCGTCTCCCCCGAGCCTCGTGTCAGGTGCGCAGGCTCATGCCGCTGCTGGCTCCTCGGCCTGGTGTGCTGCCACCCTGACCAGCTCAGCCCTGCTCCCCGCAGAGTTCGAGGAGCCTCGGGTGATCGACCTGTGGGACCTGGCCCAGACCGCCAACCTCACCGAGAAGGAGCTGGAGTCCTTCCGGGTGAGGAGCCGCCGGCCACCCGCCAGGCTCAGGTGGCACCGACTCGGCCATCTTGTCCTCAGCCACGTGGGCCGGGCAGTCCCGCCCTTTGCCTTCCTCCCCTGGCATCCTGGTGCGCGGCCGGGGGACCCCGTGTGCTGTGCATGTGCTGTCCGTGCCGGGCTCTGCCTTGCCGACTGCTGTGACAAGGCCCCGGGGGTGAGAGGAAGGCGGCCGAGAGGCTGCGAAGAGTCCCTGTGCCCCTGGCTCTCCGCTCCATGGTGACAGTGGGGCCTCGACTGCAGGCCGACCTGGGTGTGGGGCTCACATGAAGTTGAGGGACGGGGCCGCGATGGCCCGGGATGCTTCCAGCGCCGAGAGGGAGATGGGGGTGGGGGGGTGCTTCAGGAGGCCAGGCCTGCGTACTCCGCGTGGGGCGCAGGGCCATCTGCACGTCAGGACACGCCGCCCCATGCCCACGTGCACGGCAGGTGGGCTCGGAGCTCCCGCTGAGCCCCAGGGAACCCACAGGGTGAACGGGAGCCTGTAGGGAGGGGCCAGCATGGGCTGGGGAGAGGAGGGGCCAGGTGCATGGTCGCTGTCACTGTCCGGGCCTCAGCCCTCGGGGAGGAGTGGGGCGGGGCTCCCCAGGACCCAGGGACACCCTGGGTGTGAGCACGCCTGTGGGCTGGGGCAGAGAGGGGAGGGCAGAGCCCCGGGGGTGTCCGGTGGGTGACTGCCAGGAGCTAGGCCCGTGTCCAGGTCCCAGTGGGTATGCTGGAGTCCACACTCCACGGGTAGGGATCCGAGTCAGTGCTAGGTACGCCAGCCAGGGCGGGTCAGTGCGGGCAAGAAAGGGGCAGCCTGGGACTGGGTCCCCCAGGACAAAGGTACACGGAGCTGTCAGGTTCTGGGGACCTCAAGGAGCCATGCGGAGGACACCCAAGTCACTGAACATCCTTCCAGGAGGAGCTCAAGCACTTCGAAGCCAAGATTGAGAAGCACAACCACTACCAGAAGCAGCTGGAGATCTCGCACGAGAAGCTGAAGCATGTGGAGCGCATCGGCGACCCGGAGCACGTCGGCCGCAGCAGGGAGAAGTACACCCTGCTGGAGGAGAGGACCAAGGAGCTGGCCTACAAGGTGGGCAGCGGGCCGGGGCACGCCCAGGGGGGCAGCCAGCGTGAGGCCACAGCACTTTGGGTGCAGGGCCCCGCTCTTCCCTGCGGGCCCCGCGGTGGCCCTGGCCGATGGCTGTGATATCCCCGGATGCGGCGTCTGCCCACAGCGCAGCAGCACAGGGTGGGAGCTGGGCGGGACGAGGCTTCAGGCCAGAGCAGGAGCCCTCGGCCTTCTGGGTGTGGCGCACAGGAGCTGTGGGGAGAGAGTAGCCGAGCTGAGCCTGGGGGGCGGTGGAGGAGAGGAGCGGCGGCCTGGGCCTGGGCCCTGCTCCAGGAGCACCATGGGGACGGGTGCCCCATCGGCTGAGAAGGCTATGCGGGCGGAGGGCAGAGGTGTGCTGGGCTGCAGGGTCACCGACGGGACGGGACTTTCGAGAGCCACCAGCCCGAGCTGTCAGCCCGAGCGCCGGTGCACAGGGCACTGTGAGAACGTGGGAGGCTCAGAGCGGCTGGCTCGGGCCCCGCTGGTGCGGCAGTGGCCCCTGCTGGGCCGTCCCCGGGACCCTGGGTGCTCCACAGTGCTGGAGTCGGAGGTGGCATCTCCCTCCCCGTCCAGACACCCACGGCCGTGAGGACACGCCACCTCCGAGCACAGTGGCCGCCAGTCCCCAGGCCCTGTCCACAGCACGGAAGTAGCGGCACAGCAGATGACCAGAAGAACTCTGCTTCCTTTGCAGAATGCCTGCCTCTCGAGTTGGCATTTACATCCTTCGGGGGTGTCTTAGGGTGACACGGAGCTGATCAGTACCTGTGACAAGTTCCCAGAGGGGCTGTGGTTGTGACAGCAGTGGAGAGACCTCCATCTCACTGGTGTTTTGTGGCGCTGCACGTGTGGTGCCATCTCCAACTGACAGGTGTCCCTGTCGCCTGCAGGTGAAGAAGCATTTACAGGACCTGTCCAGCAGGGTCTCCAGGATGCGGCACAATGAGCTCTGAGGCCGGCACCCATGGTGGAGACCGAGCAGAGAGCCCAGGGCTGTCCTGCTGTTGTGACAGACCCGTGGTTAGTGCCAGGCTGGGCACAGTGCCGCAGCCAAGAGGACCCCTCCACCTGCCATCGGACGCGTCCCAGACCCATGCCCTGGTCCCACCTGGGGCTGACTGACAGGAATTCCTGTCACTACCCCATGAGGACCTTGAGGTCCAGCTGCCAGTCCCCCGGACAGTGGGCATCGCAGGCCTGCAGAGTTGTCCCAGACATGTTACAGAGCCCTTAAACACACTACAGTCTGCCTCTCTGTCATTGTCTTCTCTCTCAGTTGGGGCCAGCGTCCCAAGGCCCCTCGCCCTCTCCTGCCGACAGCAGGCAGCCCCTTGTCCCCAGGGCTCTGCAGTGCCCCTCCCCAGTGGCACGACCTGTCCTGCTTTAAACCCAGGAGCCCGTTGGAGCTTGGTCTTGGGTCCAAGGTGGTGGAGAAGCAGCCTGCAGCCCCGGCAAGGGCCTCTGGCAGGGTGCTTCCTCCCCTCCCTCTGCAGCTCCAGGGGCACAGGGAGACTGCTGGGTGGGCCCCAAGGGAGAGGGCCCTGCAGGGCATTTCTCTACACCACAGCTGACCGCTGGCCTTGGGCAGGTCCGGGGTTGGAACTCAGCCCCCACGGTCGAGCCTAGAAGCCACCTGACGGGTCCTGCTAGGTTCACTAGTGGCTGAGATGAGCCTGGCCCAGCACCACTATCCCTGAACAGAAACATGACGCTAACAGCAGCGTGCTGGAAGCTTGCAGGTTGGGGCAAAGGTGGCAGGGTGTGGCGTGGACAGGGTGGGGTGGCTTCCTCACCTGCATGGTGTCTGCCACACCCCTGTCTACAAGGGTGTCCCCGGCAGGGCTGGCTGACAGGCCCCCAAGACCCAGCAGCATCCAGGGCCCAGGGAAGTGCGGTCTGCCAGGGGGTCCAGCCCATACTCTGCCACCCATGTGCAGAGCATGCCCTTCCTGGGGACCACAGTCCTGGGTGTCGGGGTGCAAGGCTGGGACTTGGCTGGGCCCAGGGCAGAGGCTCTGTCGCACGTCCGCTGAGCTGACCAGAGGGAACCCCTGGCCTTCAGTGTGGCCATGAGAAACGGGCAGCTCCACCAAGGAGCCCAGAGCAGGGGCTGCGCTGTGTTCTTCCCAGCTTCTGAGTGCTCGCGTTGAAATGAGTTGTGCACTCCTGAAAGCACACAGGCGTGCACACAGCTCAGTTACCCAGGGTGAGTGATGTGGGAGCCACAGTCTTGTCAGGAGTAGGGGTGGGCAGTGTTGTGGCCGACCTCCACCAGAGCTTCCTGCTGCCCTGACTTTGACGAGGTGTGAACGTCACAGAACTTAGGGCTGGGTGTGTGTGTGGCACCTGGCTTTCACCATCTCTGCTGGTAAGAGTCAACCACTTCACTGCTGTGTAGTTTTCCATTGGATGGATGTATATCATCACACTTTGCAGTCTGGTTTATTGTTGCTGATCGAGTTCTTTCCACTTCAGAAGTAGCTACTAACACCCACGGTATTAGTCAGCTTTGAGTGCTGTAACCAAATACCTGATATCCACAATTTGAAGGAGGAAGTCGATTTTGTCTGATAGTTTCAGTGGGTTCAGTCCATAGTCAGCTGGCTTTGAGGTGAGAATGTCCTGAGGAAAGAGCACAGCGGAGGAAAAAACTGCTCAGCTCATGGTGGCCAAGGTGCCAAGAGGAGGGGAAGAAACCCAGGACACGCCCAGCAACCCCCTCCAGCCAGACCCCACCTCCTAAAGCACATCAGCCATGACCTCAGCCACAGGGGAGTCCACTGATGTGCACAGGTCCTGTGGTGCAGTCACCTTCCAGGACCCCCACCCATGAGCACACAAGCCTTTGGGGGACATCTTTGATCCAACCTGGCACAGCCCTAGAAGTAGCTGGGGCTGGGGTGCACATTTTCTGGCCGCTAGGTGTGGTCCTGCTGAGTGCTGGGGGGTGTGTGTGTGTGTGTTTGTGTGTGTGAGTGTAGATGGGAGATGGCCACACTCCCGGACGGCAGTGCCAGCTCACCGGGCAGCAGCAGGGCGTGGAGAGCAGGCTGGTTGAGTGCCAGGATTGGTGCCCAGGCTGCCACTGGGGGTTCTGTCCCCCTCTCTGAGTCCTGACTCCGCCATGTCTGTCCTCCGATGCCCTGTGACCTGGGCCTGGTCCATATGTCCCAAGTACTTGCCCGTGTCCTGCCCCAGTGGCTCTGTAGTGAGGTTGGAAGTCATGCCATGTGCATTTCCTGCACTTGGATTCTGTCCGCTCTTCATACCCTGTGTTTCCCTGAACGCATTTGGTTCCACTTTCTTTTTTTGTTTTCTGGTGCCGGGGATCAGACTTGGGACCTTGTGCTTGTGCTTACCAGCCAGTCATGGCACCACTGAGCTAATTCCCCAGCCCTGGATCCACTTTTCAATTTCTACCAAACAAGCCTGCAGGGGTTTTGATGGTGGACCACCTTGGATCCCGTGTGTACGTGTGAGCATGTGTGCACACATGTAGGGCTGAGCACTGAACCCAGGGCCTTATATTAAACCGCTGGGAGCAAAAGTTAAGACTCAGAGGGTGGAAAGTAATGAGGAGACCACACAGTGCCACAGAAGAGGTGAACACAGGAAAAGTGCCCGGCTGTGATCCAGGCTACCACACGGACTGAGGAGGATCACAAGTTCAAGGCCAGCCTGGGCAACCTTATCTCGAAAAAAAAAATATTTAAAGGTTATGGATACAGATTAGTGGCAGGGTGCCCCTGGGTTAGATGCTCCGTAATGAAAAAAAGTCTAAAGATGTAAAGGGCAACAGTGAAGAGTAGGACTCCAGAGAGATGGCAGAGATGGGAAGTGGGGAATCCTGCCCAGTAACCATGGAAACCTTTGTAACTGAAGAGCGCGTTTCCGGGTTGGGAGGCCCAAGGACACTAGAGATGGTGACTGATGACTGAAACTTAGGAGCAGAGGGGTCGGGCAGGGGGCATCGCAGTCAGGATCACGGGGTGCCTGCTGTCTGGGCAGCCGCGGGAGCACCAGCTGTAGAGCTGCAACAGCTGAGTGTTGGAGGGAAGTCAGCTGCACCCCGGGATTCTGCACTCCCCCCACACACCAGTGCTTCCTCGGGAAGGGACGGGCACCTGACCCTGAAGTGTGTCAGGTCTCAAACTTGCCCTCATTTCTTCGGTTGCTGCAGGGGAAAGCGCTCCTTAACGACATGAAGACGGGACTCATGACAAAGGGGACCCAAGAGAGGCGCTGAGGATCCCCGTGCCTGGGTGGGGCGGGTGGTCAGGTGCCTCTGGAGAAGGTCCGCACAGTCAGGCTGTCCACGAGGACGGCCCCGCACCACGGAGGGCGGCTGCATGTCAACAGTGGGTGCACAGAAAACCGGTCCAGGGAAGAACCAAAGTGGATGAGAAAGGACAAGTAACCGAAAAGTGTGATAGAAAAATAGGGTGAATGATTCTGTTCTTAAAATCTATTACAGTGACTGACATGACCGTGAATCCCCCTCCTCCCTTGGAACACACTCATCCCGTCATTCCTGGCCGTTTCTGTGGCAGCTCTGGATTCCTCTTTAGCTAGTGTCTTCAGTTGTACTGTCCTGGCTGCCTCTGTCCTGAATCGATCCAAGACGTTTTCTTTTCCTGGTCATTTTGACTCTGGGTAGGAGCCAGAAGCCGCACAGTGCCAGGCCTGGTGAATGAGGTGGACACAGACACAGCATCCTGTTTTCACCAGTTACCTTTCCATTGCGTGGCACCAGGTGGCACCGTTCACTGTGTTTTGATCACACCTTGTGAAGACATGCAGGAAAGCGGACTCCGCAGCTGCTGCAGAAAGTGGCGAGAACCGTGGGCTAAGCGTGTTCCAAGCCAGGAGGAGGACTGTGAGGGATCCACGGCAGCGTGTCTTTCACTGCAATCATTTCTAACATTTCCACACTCCCCATACTTCCGACACCCCCCCCACACATGACCAAGGTTATGACCTTGGTCGCAGGTCAGTAGGATCTGCGGAGTCCACGGAGGTCAGCCTGAGGACCAAGCGAGTGGCGATGCTGGGGCCTTCCACGCGTGGGGTCCCCAGGGGAGGTCTGTAGACAGAACCCAGACTATGAATCTCAAAACAGTTGGCAGCGACAGCAGGGCCGGGCACAAGGGGGCGCTGACCTTCATAACAAACCTTGTAGATGTGTCTGATTCTAAATCTTTTTTTTTTGAAACAGGGTCTCGCTATGTAGCCCAGGCTGGCCTCGAATGCACAGTGCACAGTGACTCTCCTGCCTCAGCCTCCTGAGTGCGGGATCACAGGCATGCACCAGCTGACTCTTAATCTTGAGAAACACATCACTGATAAAAATTACAAACCCAGTAATATCTAATCTATTGTTAGTGTCCCATCAACAACCCAGCGGAAGAGAGCAGAAGCAGCAGATTAGGAGGGGAGGAACCCCAAGGCCCAGTGAGCCTGTATTTCCGCACAGCTGCAGCCTCTGAGCTCGCTCAGCCCCAAGCCAGAGGGAGACAAGGAAAAACCCTTGGCTGTCATTTCACACCCACCCCATGGCAGAAGTGACACCCACCTAACCCCTGCGTCACCCATGCTCTGGTGCCGTACACTTTTACAACCCATATGGAGTACAGAGTTTGGCAAAACTCGAGCAGTCAGAGATATGCACCCCCACCCTCCTACGCTGTCCCCACCTGTGGCAGCTCTGAGGAGACGCAGCTGCTTCCCAGCACCAACCACCTGGGCATCTGCACCCGTCAGCGACGCCTGCACCCAGGTGCTCAGGGAGCCCCCAGGTGCACCGGGCCACGCAGGAGCATGGCATATCGCGTCAGGAGATGAGCTGCAGGATTCCAGCTCACGGTGGCATTTGTGTAAACTACACATAAGCACCCAGGCCAGGCATGGTGGCGTGCACCTGTAATTCCCACACTCTGGGAGGCTAAGGCAGGAAGATTGCAAGTTTAAGCCCAGCCTGGGCAACTTAGCAAGACCCTATTTCAAAAATAAAAAGGGAGCTGGGGTTTTAGATCAGCGGCCCGCATCTGCCTCGCAAGCACAAGGTCCTGAGTTCCATCCCCAGTTCCGAAAAAAGAATTTTTTTTAAAAAGGGCTGGGGATGTTGCTCAGTGCCCAGGCCCTAGGTCCAGTCCCCAGGACCGCAAAAAAACAAAAACAGCAAAAACACCACTGGAGACAATAGTATGAGGAGGTGCATGAAAGTGACCAGCCCTGGGCTCGGCCGTTGTCGCGTGTCTGAGGCGCCCCTCACTCTGGCTGCCAGCTCCTGGTACCTGGAGCCATGCTGTGGACTGGCCATGTGCTAACGTCCTGCGGGGAAAGCTGGAAGGGAAGGAAACCCTTGCCTCCTCCCGACACAGCCCGCTTGCGCCTGGGAGGGAGGCCTGGCCTCTGGGCCTCTCCCCGTCCCTTCCCTCAGTGCTCCCTGTGGGACCTCATCCGCTGGCCCTGTGCACCCAACCGCAGCACGCCTGCTGCCGCCTCCTGAGTGGCAGGAGCTATCTGACCTACGCTCTTCAGGATGCGGCATCAGCCTGGCGCTGCTTCCAGTCAGGCGCTGAATGCAGCCAGTGTGGGCCTGTGTGGGCCGGGTGGGGGCACTGCACTGTCGGGTCCGGGTGTGAGTGTGCGGCCCCGGGCCTGGACGCGCAGTCACCCCAGCGCTCGGGTACCAAGGGAGACCAGGGCTGGGCTGCAGCCCAAGGGCACAGGGCTCTGATCTGACCCCAGGGAGGCGAGGAGGGCAGCGTGGCCAGGAGGGCATGGGAGACACAAAGGCTGCCCACTTGGCCTCAGCTCGTGGAGGCCCTGCACAGGCTGGAGTTGGAGGCCAGGGTCCCAGAGACTGCGCAGCACACAGGGAGCCAGCCAGTGGTGCAGCGGGGCCCTGCCCATGTGGCTCTGTCCTCCAGGAAGGCTGCCAGGCCTGCAGTCACCTGCTATCAGCAGAGCCACCCCACCGGGACGGCCTGGTCCCCACTTCTGTGCCCCACAGCTCAGTCCTATGAGAGGGACCCTGCTGTGTCCCTGGGCCTCCCTCTGACCTCGGCCAGGTCCAGCTGAACCTGGAGGGCCCTGGCCCTGCACCCTGACCCCTCACTGCCAACGCCCATCACACTTTGCAGGCGGACAGTCCCCGGGCCAGCGCGATGGCCACGCTCTGCCCACACAGCGTGAGCAAGGATCTGGGGGCCCCTCCAGGCCATCTCGGGGGTGACCTGCCACCACCACCCTCCCTTGCAGTTGCCCCGTCCAGTCAGGCCCACAGGGGCTCAGGAGATGGGCAGGCAGGAGGGCCGGGCAACCCAAACCCAGGCTCAGCCGAGGTGGGCCCCCGCAGGGACTCATCGAAGATCCACTAGATGCTGGGGGTCAGGGACAGAAGGGGGATGCGGCCGGCTATGGGCAGAGCCCCCATCCCCTCAGAAACATCCCAGAGCTTCGAGTCAGGGAGGCCCCACAAAGCCCCTGGGTGGAGACCCAGCATCAAGATGTCAGATCAAGTCTGGGGCAGAAACCACGCAAGAAAGAGCCTCACACCTTCAGGAAAAGAATATGCATTGTTAAAAATGGACAGTAGGGGCCGGGGTTAGCTCAGTGGTTTTGCTGCCTGCTGCGCAAGCGCAAGGACCCAAGTTCAATCCCCGGTACCAAAAAGAAAAAATGGAGAGTAGGAGTTCACACTCTGAGCTAACTGTGGGTCCCGAGCAGCACGGCAGTTGGCCCATCCCTGGGCCACGCGGGCACTGACCGGGGCCACAGGCCTTCCGACCCCTGCCACCTCAGTCCTCAGGCCCAGGGCGCCGCAGCCCGAGAGGCGGGGCCCCCGGAGGGGTGTGCAGAGGACAGGGCCAGGCTGGAGCAGCGCGTCCCAGCCCAAGTCCCAGAGGGTGGGGACCAGCTTGCCCTGCCTTCCTCTGAGCTGTCCCTCATCCCGATGGGAGAGCAGCCTGCACTCCAGGCTCAGAGTCTGCTCCACAGCCTGAGTGACAGCTGGGGGCAGCGCCTCTCTGGACAGGGAGGCTTGGCCGGGCACCAGTGGACGGAGCCAGAGGGAGAAGAGCCCTCGCGTGGGTCCCCTCGCTGTGGTGGCCGGCCTGGACCCAGAGCCTTCCACCTCATCACTCCAGGAACCGGGGCCCGAGGTCCCTCCGCTGCAGCCTGGGTGCTGGTCACAGCCTCAGCCCGAGCTCTGAGGGCCAGGCTCCCGGAGACAGAGGCCACCCCGCAGATGTCCAGCCAGGGCCTCACCGTGGGCCGCCCCTCCTGTGCTGCTCCAGCTCCGACAGCCGCTCCTGGGCGTGCTGGGCCCCAGCCCGATGTGCCGCCTCCGTGGATGAAATGTCTATCTGTGCGTAACGCGAGGCACCAGCCCCTGCGGGAACCTGGGGTGAGCAGAGCCGCCCGGAGCCAGCCCGCTGCTTCCCCGTCCCACCTGTGACCCCCCAGGACACCCTCAGAGGGGCGGCTCTCGGACGGCAGGAAGAGCCCAGCTGAGCAGAGCCCACTCACCCACCTCGGACGCCCAGGCCGGCCTCCTGCAGCTCCAGGCCCATGTAGTGCAGCTGCTGCCGGGACGAGGGGCTGACGGGGATGTTCACGTAGGCGGGCGGCTCAGGAGCCCCTGGCCCTGGGGGTCCTGTGGGCCAGGGGCTGTGAGTCCCCCGGAAGACACCAGAGCTGTGCTGACCCCTCCTTGCGCTCTGCACTTCTCTTGGGCCTTAGGCCCCAGCCCCTGTCATTCCCTGGTCCCCAGCTCCTGAGGGCCGGGAGACACAGCAGAGCCCGGGGAGTCATGCAAGGCCCCTGTCCCACAGCACCCACAGAGACCACAGAGCTCTGACCCCCAGCCCTGGGGCGGATCCTGGCTCTGCTCTCCCTGCCCAGGTACCCTGGGTCACCCAGCCAGGTCCCTGGCGCAGGCCCATGCGGACCTTCTGGAAGTCCACCCTCCTCCCTGTTACTGCCCCCAGCAAGCCTGGGGTGCAGCTCATTCCTTGCTTGCTCCCAGGGGAGAGATTGAGAGAGAGACCCCAAGTTACTGAGTCACTTGGGGCAGAGCTGGAGCGAGCCAGGCCGGCGTGGGCTCCCCTGGCTGACGCGGTGCACTAGTGATGGGCTGTCCTCTCCCCGTCTGCCCAGCTGGGGCCTGAGGATCTTGGATGGGGACCCGTGCTGAGGCCGCCCCGCCCCGCCTGGGCCCATCGTCCCGGGAGTGGGGCTCACGTGGTGCCGATGGGCAGAAGGGCCCCCAGCCCACCGCCCGTCCTGACTCATCTCTCGGCCCAGACCACAGGCCAGCTTGTGCCAGGACCTACCTGAACGTGCCCTCACGCGTCCCGGGGCTGAGGCCGCCGCTCCCTAGACCGAGGAGAACTCGGGTCAGTACAGCCACCGCCTTCCCCGCTCTGCCCCTGCACCCCGCAAGGCCAACCGGCCCGAGGGCTAGCACTCTGCCCCCAGGCCCTGTGTCCCACGAGGGAGCTAGAGGCCTGGGACACCAGGCTCTCGGGCCTCAAGGCCCAGCTCCCTGTCCCACTTCTGCTGATGGCTTTGTGGGGGATGCAGGGCCGCTGTGACACAGACCCAGGCCCCGCAGGGTGGCCCAGGTCTCTGCTCCGGGCCTGTGCTGAGGAGCACGGGAGCCCAGGCGAGGGGACAGTCTCTGCTGGGTACAGCGGGCTCTTCTGGCCCCACATGGGCAGTGCCTGGCAGGACGGGAGGAGCAGTGGAGGCTGACCCCCCGGGTGCCCCTGGCAAAAGGCCGTGGTGGCCAGGACCTGGGGTGCTTCTGGGGGGAACCTGGAAGAGGGGCTGGGGGTGGACGGGAGCCCGAGGCTGGAACAGGAACCCGGCCCCAGCTCCTGTCCAGGCCACCTGCCGGCCCCGAGAACCTGTCCTGCCGGGCCACGTCACACTCCCGCTGTGGGCGGATGCCCCAGGGCAGAGCAAGCACACTCAGCCCCTCAGGTCCCCACACCTGGGCCAGGACGGGGGCCGCTGAGGAAAGGCCCCAGCCGTCGGCACCCTCCCTGCAGAGGGGCTGCTGGGCTGGCTCTGAGCCGCCTACACACACTGGGGAGAGGGGGTGAGGAGACAGTCCCTGTCTGTCCCAGAGGGGACCCCGCCCAGCCCCAACAGGGGAGACCGCAGCCCACATCCAGGCCCCTGGCTCCGGAGACACTGAGCTCACGCGCTGTGGGGGCCCAGGCCTCCTCCTGAGGGCCCTCATTATGTGAGCTACCATGGCCCCAGCAGCCCCAAAGGCCTCCGTGGGCTGCTGCCCTGCCCTCCTTTGCGGGAGGCCTTCACACCCCAGCCCCCCCACCAAGGGCTGCACCCAGACCCAGGGCAGACACGGAGACCCTCAGCGAGGCTCGCTCCCCGCCTGGGCGCCCTTTCCTGCGGGCTGCAGGTGGAGGTCCCAGGACGCACCGGGGAGAGTTTGGGGAGGGAGGGTTCTGCTCAGCTCCCCATTTCTTGGGCAGGAAGCTGCCTCACAGCCCGGGGCCACTCCCACCAGTGTGCGTCAGGCCCTCCATGCTGCCCCGTGACGGGGGGTGGTCACCCCATCCATGGAAGAGGAAACTGAGGCTCAGAGAGGTGTAGTGACTTGTGGGCCACTCGCCCTGCAGGCTCGGCCCCAAAGCCTGTCCTCCCCACACTGCAGAGTTGCAGGAGCCCTGGGCTCCCAGTGGCCTGGCAGATGCTGACCTGGCTGCCCGCGCTCAGAGGGAGCAGGCGGGAGCACAGGGTCCAGGCTCAGAGCCAAACCAACACCCCTGACCTGGCACAGGCACGCACACACGTGCACGCACACACACACCCACCCCCGATCTAGGCTGCAGCCTGAGAGTCCAGTCCTGGTCACAGCAGGGCCAGACTGGGGAGGGGAGAGGGCTGGCCACACGGAAAGGACACGGTGGTATGAAAAGAAAACTTTATTTTCAGTCTGAGAATGTATTACAAAGTGTCAGATTTTAAAAATAGAGCAGAGCAACAACACGGTCGGTCAGTGGTGCAGGTGCAAGGTCAGGTGTTTACAGGGGACCTGGCCCAGGCCTGCCCAAGGGCCACAGGGAGCCCAGGAGGGCTGGGCACAGCCAGCCTCTGACTGTGCCAGCGAGGACAGCTCCACGCTGCACCACGCAGGGCACACAGACCCAGGAGGGGGGCTGGAGGCCCCAGGTGCCCGGGGAGCCCCAATGTCCCCCACTGGTCCTGCCCACCAGCTTCCTGGTCCCAGTGGGAGGGTGCAGGAGGAGGCGGTGGGGACCCCAGGCTGGCCGAGCTCACGGCCGGGGCTAGGGGAGGACTCTCCCTCGGGAAAAAGCTGGTGTGGGGCTCAGTGGGGTTCCAGTCACTGGGACGCAGACCCCATGAGTCACGGGGCCTCCTGAGCATCAGTTTCCTCCCCACAGGGTGGGCAGCCGTGCCCCACGCGGGTGCTGTGGGTGAACACGCAGAGCCGACGGCGCAGACGGTGCCCTGGGAGGTCTGCGAGCCGGACCCCTGGACCCGGGGTGTCCGGAGCTGCTGGGGGGGCTCAATTTTCATGGAAAGAGGAGGAGGCTTGGGGCATTTAGAATGGGCAGTGGACCGGGATGAGCCCCCACTTGGGTCTAGCGCAGCCAACAGGGGCTTCCTACCCGGCACCCCAAAGCAGGCCTCCAGCCAGTGGGGTGCAGCACCCCCTGAGCCCCCAGTGTCTGACCCTCAGTGCTGGAGAAGCTGGGCCTGGGGACTCCATGCACCCCAGCCTGCCAGCTGGCGCCCCACTGTCCAGAACATGCTGCCTGAGGCACCCCGACCACTGGGGGGCCCTGTACCGCCGCCCAGCCCAGACCCTCTCCACCGCCTGCGGTCCCAGAAACGCAGCATAGAGCACCCCCTCTGCAAAGAGGTGGGTGGGCCCTCGACTCCCATCCAGAGGGGCAAAACCCCAGCCCCTGGCAGCCATGGGGCCCGGGTGGCCGTCTCAGGGTGGGGACTTTACCTTGAGTCCGCCACAGAGTGGACAGGCCGAAAAGAAAGCAGGAGGCGGCCCAGCGTGCGGGTTGCCCGCTTCCCAGGGCTTGCTGGGGGCCGGGCTGGCCTGTGCGGCCTCGCTGCCCGAGGCCTCTGTCGCCTGTCCCTGCCGTTTGGTGCCCAGCCAGCCGGAAGGGCAGCCTTCAGACATCTGACCGCCCAGCTCTGCCGCCGCACCCTGGTCGGGCCCACCCCGGCAGGCTGGGCTCTGGTCCCGGGGTGCCGGGAGCAGGCTGCGGGGTGTGTCGTAGTGCGGCCACCAAGACATGGGCACCTGGTACTCAGCCGCCCCAGGCGGGCAGGCGCACAGGCTGGGCTCGGGCGCCCCAGGTGCCGGCAGGGGCAGGCTGAGCAGCGAGCCGAAGTCCTCGCCAGCCCGCCACACGTCCAGGCTGCTGCCTGCGTCAGACGAGAAGCTGCCCGAGTAGGAGGAGTGGCTGCCCGTGGCGATGCCGCTGTCCGAAGAGCTCTGGCGGCCAACTTCCTGCAGCTGCCGTGGCCACAGCGGCTTGGGGGGCGCCCTTGAGGTGCCCAGCGCAGCCTCCTCTGGAGCCTGGGCAGCCGCCAGCCCCGGGCCCTCCTGCGATGTGCTGGCTGAGGACAGGTGCTGCTCGGGCCACGTGCTGAGCCGGCTGCTGGCACTGAGGTCCGAGTGGCTGGCCTCAGAGGGGGAGCTGGACAGGCTGCGGTCATCTCCTGCAGCGAGAGGGAGCGGAGCTGCGGTGGAGCCTGTGCCTGGCGGTGCCCAGTCACCTCCTCCCAGCCACTCCCCTGGTCCCAGCCCTGTCCTCTGCCTCCCAGTCACCCCACCCCAAGAGCCCCCTGCACCAGGGCTCTTCCCAAAGCAGCCTGGACCGGCCTGTCTCCCTCCTTCCAGCCCTCCGCATCGAGGAGCTGTGGCCACCAGGGTCCCTCCTCCTGGCATCCCAGCTCTGCGTCCAGCGCTGCTGACCGCTCTCCAGCCCCAGGGCCTGGGTCTCCCGGCCTTGCCCTCCCCTGACATCCCTGCCTGCCTTCCGGCTTCCCTCCCCTCTGGACCATGAGAGCTCCGAGGACAAGAGGTCTAAGATTCAAGACTGACCCACCGCCCACCAGCCAGGCCGAATCTCCCTAGTGTCCATGGGAAAGCCAGTCTGTCTTTGCTTCCTCCATTCAGCCTGCACATCAGCAGCAAGCCCCCAGGAAGGCAGAGGACTCGCTGCAAGCCTGAGACTTCCTACCCCAGGGGCCACCGCACAGGAGGGGGGCAGGCCACTGTCCCTCCATGAGCCCCAGGGGACGGGCAGCAGGGGGACCAGCAGAGCCAGCAGGGCTCCTGCACTCTGGCCTGGGAAGACTCCGGCGCTGCAGCAGCTACTCACTGAGTGCAGTCCCGTCCACCTGTCTTCCCTGGATGGCAGCAGAGGGGGCCCAGCGCCTGGGCAGCAGCTCTGCTGCCCCTCTGATTGTAGACCAAACTGGTGGGTGCGGAAAAGCCAAACCCAACTGATCCACCCTCCCCATTATGCACCTCCTGCTAGCATCTAATAAAGGTTTGTCCGATCATGAATGAGTGAGAGAGTGAATGAACAGGAGGGTGAATGGATTAATAGAGAATGAATGCATGAGCAAGAAGGGAAAGGAAGGATAAGATGGATGAGAGATGGATAGATGAGGAGATGGATAGACTGATGGGGAGAGAAGGCAGCGTGAATGAATGAGCCAGAGGAGGAGCATGAATGGAGGGAAATGGGTGGTGATCACTGCAGGCACACTGGAGGGGCATGGGGGGCTCTGACACCCGAGAGACGGGCCATGTGTGCGGTGTCCGGGCCGCCATCGGCCATACCTCCACTGCCCGGCCGGCCTGTGTGAGACAGGATGCTGAGCCGCTTCTCCAGCTGCAAGGCTTCCAGTGTCTCCTGGGCCAAGCGCTCCTCCGCGGCCAAGAGCCCCCCAGAGCTCGGGTCTACGGCAGAGAAGGGCTGTGAGGCTGGCTGCCTCCACCCCAGGCCCACACTGCCGGGCTTCACAGTGGGTCCAGTGGCTTCAGAGCCTCAGGCATCCTGGGACAGCCCCAGCACAGGGTCCCCATGACCCAGACCCTCCCCAGGCCTCAGCCCCAGATGCTGGGACCACATCAGGATGCGGAAGTGGCCCCCACCCAGGCCTCCACTGCTCAGCCTGGGTCCCCACACATGGAACCTCCCTAATCTGGACAGACCCCGCCCACCCCCACCAAGGTGCCAGAGCTGTCTCCCGGGTGACGGCACCCTCCTTGCTGAGCCTCACAGGACACCTAAGGCTCCCGACTCGCGGCTGCTAACCCCAACCTATCCCATCACGTCTGCCTCCCGGGGAGTGATCAGCCCCTCTGGTCACCACACCTGCACCTGTTTCCTCAAGCCATCACTGTGGGTCACAAAGGATGGAGGTCTGTGTCTAGGCCCTTGCTGTCCATACACTGTCTGGGCCAGCTGCACCTGCGCCTGCTGCCACAAGGCAGGACAAGGCCAGCAGGGGGTGCTGCCACGCCATCCTGCAGAGCCTGGAGGTGGGACGACTCCAGGCCGGGCGCTGCCTGCTCCCTCCCCAGTGACTGTGCCACCTGAGGCTCTGGGGTGGCGGCCATTGTGCCGGGCTGGGGGGTGCCCGCCTGGGGAGCAGTACACTTGCTGCTCTGCCCTCCCAGGATGCACCTGGGCAGCAGGACAAGCTCTGTCCTCTTGGGGGTGAAGGGAGCATCAGAGATTGTCCACACAGCCCCCTGCCCTGCTTGAGCCCCTTGTGCCTGGGCTGTGTGGGTCCAATAATGTCCCTGGCCACTCCTAGACCACAGTGCCCAGTGATACCAGGGAGAGGAGATGGGACAGGAGACATGTTCCTGGGGGCCCTGTACCCACCCAGTGCACCCCAGTCCCCCACACCAGAGGAGGCAGTCCCGGACCAGGATCAGCTGGGAGACAGGAAATCCCCAGGATCCCAGGCCTCTTTTTCCCCATCCAGCCACAGTTTTGGCAAAACTCTCCCCATCAGAAGGCGCCAGGCCCCAAGGGTCCCCAGAGCTCAGGCCCCGTGGATGGAGCCTGGACCCCCAGAGCCCCAGGCTGCCTGGTCTCACTCCCAGGCCAACACGGATCCAGTTTCTTACCTGCAGGTGGGAACAGGTAGCCACCTAGCTGGGCTGACGAGTCAGGGTGGCCCTGAGGCCTTGGCCACTGTGAGAGCCCACCGAGCACCCCTCCCCACCTGGGCCCAACCTGGCCAGGCCCCACACACACCTGGGAGAACTGGCCGAAGCCCAAAGGGGCCCTTGGTCGGGGAGATGCCGCGGACGATGCAGTCAAACAGGAAGCTGATCTGCTCCCCCTCGGCTGAGGACAGGAAGAAAACTCCAGCCCCTGCAGAGGGAGGACAGAAACTTGGGGTCAGCCTGGCCCCGGATGGCTGGGAGACCCCTGCAGCGTGGGCATGGGGTTGAGGGGTGGGAGGGGCCTGAGCAAACTCCAGCAAATTCTGCAGGACTCACTTACCTGGCCCAGGACACTGTGGCCCCAGAGCCTGGGACTAAATCTCTTCTGCACCCAAAGGGCCCCACTGCATGTGTCTGGCACACAGGGTGTCAGGGCAGCCAGGCAGATGGGCCATGGCCCCCCCTAGCTGCCTTTGGGGCTCCAGCCTGTCCTTGAGGCACGAGGCTGGCCTGGCTCCTTCGGCGATGCCTGGGACTCGCAGGGACAGCCTGTGTGGAAATGTGGCCCCGACCCAGGCCTCGCTGTGAGGCTGGAACACAGTGTCTTGTGTCAATGAAGGGGCCCCATCCTGGCCGCATGGTGCAAGAGCACATCCTTCCACCAAGACAGGGTGCCCACCCTCCTCAGGAGACACACGGGCTCTGCCACCAGGCAGCTACGTGATCAGTCCCTGCCCTCCGAGCCTCAGTTTCCCCATCTGTGCCAGAGGACTGGCAGCCCCTACTTGGGGCTGTACCAGGCTGCCTGGAGTCAGGCTCATGTCCCAGGGCAGGGCTTGTCAAAGCAGGCGACACTCACCCCACCCCAGCCCCTCACCCAGGGCTGCTGTGAGGCCAGTCAAACCCATGACAGTGTGGCACCTGCCCCACCATGGCCGGCCATCACCCCGGCCAGCACAGCATCCCCCTGGCCAAGCGGCCTGCCCCTCTGCCTGGAGCTCGTGGGATAGACCATCGGGGTCACAGGCACATGGGGGCCACCTCCAGCCCTGTGCCTGCTCTGCAGAGGAGAAGGCCGCTTGGGCAGGGGAGTCGCCTGGGGCAGTGAGTCAGCAGGGAGGGCCCGGAGCCCTGGCCACAGTGAATGAAATCCCTTGCTGGCTGCGTGAATGGGGAGGCCAGGCCGGCTGCACCCACCTGCTGAGCCAGGCACGTGGGCCGGAGGCTCTGGGTGGCGTCACCGCCCAAGAATCCCTGTCCTCCTGAGCTCTGCCATTGCCCAAAGAAAGGCACGCGGTGGCCGCACACTGGGCCCTCGCACATGGCTCTGGGGGCTGGGCCGGAAGAAGCACAGATCCAGAGGGCTTGGAGCTCAGGCTCTGCCTCCGGCTGCTCTGCCCTCCCCAGATCCTGGCTGGCCCTGACAGGCAGCCAGCTCAGGGCGCTCAGGGCAGGGCTGCCCTGGGACTGTGGAAGCCCCATGCACGTGGTGCCCCGAAACCAGGTGACAAAACAGTGCCACTCTAGCTTCAGAGAGGAGAAACTGAGGCCCAGGGGGACAAACAAGTGCAGAGTCACACACAAGAAGTGGACTCAGGCAGTTGTGGTCCGGGCCTGGCACCGGAGCTTCCGATCCCAGTCCTTAGAGGGGTGGTGGCGTGGAGGAGGCAGGCGCCCACCTCCTTGTCTCCCAGAGGGACCAAGAGGCTCACACACTCCGCTGGCCCTGGATGGGGCCCTGCACGCCAGGGCTGGCGAGGCCTGGTGCCAGCTCACACAGAGCATCTCACAGAGGTGCCCTGTCCCTGTGGCCACCCCGCCCAGGGCCAGGGCCCAGCCTCTCAGCCCCAGCACTCCCAAAAGGCCAGGCCTCTAATCCTGCGCTTACAGACAGCTGGCAGAGGCTTCGGGACAATCAGTCCCCCGACTATAAAAAAAACACTGGAGGGAGTGGAGCCGGGCCTGCATTCCGCCGGGGCGTTTGTGGAGCGTCATGGTCCCCCAGAAGGCAAGGCTGCCCAGGTGGGGGCCTGGGAGCTGGTGACTGGCCACCTGGGCTCCCGGTGTGCCCACCTGGCATCCCCACCCTCCACCCGTCCCCTGCAGGGCACCATCTCTGAGGGCCCTCAGAGCCAGGGACAAGGCCTCCCAGCGCCCACACTCCGCCTGTCCTCACCCCGCAGGACCCTCTGTCTCCCTGCACCCCAACAGGCTCTGGGGCTGCCCCAACCTCCCCAAATGTGCCCGCCCCAGCACACCTCTGCCTGGAGCAGACCAGCCATCGCCTCTGCAACCCTGGCTCCTTGACCGCCCACTCACCTCCAAGCTGTGGGCCACAGAGCAGCGCCCTCTTTGTGATGCCTCCCCACACAACCCCGCCCCCGCCTTGGAAGCCAGCAATCACCCTGGGCGCTCTCATGGACGCCTTCTTGGGCCTCACACACCTGCATCTGTGTGCTGTCCCAGCACTGTGCAAGTGGGGACCGTCTCAGCATCACCAGAGCCTGATGAGAGGCCCGTGCACGGCGTGGGCGGAAAGACGCCTTGCTCTCCCACAGCGCTCCCGGCACTCCTCGTTTGCCTGTGTGCTCCTCCAGCCCTGGGCGTAGGCCACAGGGGCCTGTGCTGCCCAGTTTTGCCCTCTTAGAAGCAGCAGGGCCACCGTGCTGGAGAGCACAGGCCCCGAGGGGACTCAGGGCCTTCTGACCAACACCCTGGCTTTGCGGCCTGCCATCTGCCAACGGCCACACCGAGTGACCCTGTCAATGCCTGGTGGAGCACACGGCCCAGATCCCGAGCCACAGAACTGCAAGTGACAGGGCAGCCACTGTGCTCAGGCCATTTGTTATGCAGCGGTGGACAACACAGGGGTGCAGATGAGGAGCAACCAGCTCTTAGGACGCAGAGCAAACAGCTGGGCAGCTACCGGCAGACAGCAGCTTTCACCCTGGGCAGAACAAGGAAGGAACCGGGAAAGGCTGGTCCTGCTATAGAAGTCCCTGGAGCCAGTTAGCTCCAGGTCCGCCATGTCGGAGTCTGGCTTTAAACCATCTCAGGGGCCTCAAGGCTGCCCCGGGCCTCGAAGGTGCTCAGTGTCCCAGGCCCTGAGAACAAATGCCACTGCGTCACCCTTGCTGACAGGTCACAGCCCCTCCAGCCATCACAGCGCAAGGACCCTTGACATACATAAACAAGCACCCATGTGTGCACACGTGCGCACACACACACATTTCCGAATGCCTCAGCCACACATTTCCAACAGCCCCTAAAGGGACGCGATGCCCTCCCAGTGCCACCCTGAGACCACTCAGCCAGTCACCAGCTCCTCCCCATCCCGGACCTGCAGGCCCCTTACGGGGTGCCCCACCCCAACCCTGCCGAAAGGGCCCTGGCTCGTACTTCCTCTACACCCGCCGAGGACCCCGTGAGGGTCCTGCCCCTGACGGTCTGCAGAGAGAGGCAAGCGGCCAGCCCTGGGCCCACGCACCCCCAGCCCTCGTCCCCTGTCATGGGACAGGAGATGGCAAACTTGGGGCACAGTCACAGTGCTGGGGTGCAGGGCAGCGAGGAGGGGTGGTGCCGTGGGAGGTGACGCCCAGGGCAGAGACCAAAGCGGCTCAGTTCCACACACAGGAAGCAGTCAGGGACGGAGGGGACGCTGACGCGGCCCAGGGCTGCACACGCGTAGGGGCCAGGGCCCAGGCAGGCCGCTCACACTAGGGACTCAGGGGCCACATGGTAGAGATGAGGAAACTGAGGCTCAGAAAGGTCACGAAAGGGCGCGGAAATTTCCAGGGACGTTGTACATCACCCCGGAAACCCCGGTTTCTCCCGCTTGTAGATGTGAGCCAAGGCAAGGCGGACAGTATGCCTGTCCTGGGCCACTCCCCGCCCAGAGCAAGCCAGCTGTGACAGCTTGAGCATCCAGACTCCCGTCACCTGTCCTGCCCGGTGGCCACCAGCTTGGGCCCACCCTGCCCAGCAGGGCCTTTGTTCCTCCAGAGGAAGAGGAAGAAGAGTGCCCTTCCCGCCAGCCAGGGTCGCCAGACAGGAGCCACGGGGAGGGAGGGGCAGCAGCCACAGTACCCCCTCGGTCCCAGCCGCTGCCCCTGAACAGCAGGAAGCCATGCCTTGGCTTCTGCTCCACACGGGGAGTGGTGAGCCAGCCTGTGGGCCAGACAGGGTCCATCCTGGAGCCCGGATGGAGGGGTCCCTGGATGCCTGCTGTGGCCAGCCTGGCTCTAAATGAGCCCCTGGACACAGACAGGCACAGACTCCTTGCACAAAATGCCGTCCTTCGGTACAAAGAGCAGTGGGTACCTGGAAGTGGCTCTGTGGGAATCCAGAGTGGGCAGACTCCACCACGGGCCGTGGAGGCTGGTTGGGTGGTCTCAGGCTGGGGACCCAAGGCAGGCCCTGCTCTCAAAGCCTGCAGACGTCACTACAGATGCCCCTCCCTGCCCTGCATCCTCCCTGGCACTCCCGGGCTGACAGTCCCGGCCCCGCCTCCTGCCCACAGCCGTGGGATCAGCCTCTCTGGCTGCCCAGGGCCCTCCTGGCCCCCAGCCTCTTCCTCCAGCCCTCTGTACCCCAGGATCACAGGCATCACCCGGAACACAGCCCTGTGCCCTGTGCCTGGGCCACCAGCCAGTCCCCTGGTCCTGGTCTCTGCCCCTTTTCCTCGGGCTCTCACATGGCCTTGTGTCCCTGTGGTCAGTGAAGGAGACGTGGGCTTTGGTTTTAGGTGTCAGAACCACACATGGGCCAGTTCCCAAATCGTCCCCCTATAACGTGCCACCAAAGGGGTCCCCAATGCCCCGCAGTGGCTGTGATCCTGAGCCACATGGTGCTTAGGCTGGAGATGATACTGGGGAAAGGAAATCAGTCAGCCTCCTGGTCACGTGCACTGGCGCTGCCCAGAGTCCTCACTCAGGGACCCCAAAGAGAGGAGGCGCTGTGGACTCAGAAATCCCTGAGGCACCACAGCTCAGGGCTGGCCGGGAACCCCCCCGCTGCTGGCCACCCGCTGGCTCCTCAGCACTGGGACCTGCCCTCTGGATGGGGCCAGGCGCCCGTGACACTGCCCGAGGCCCGGCAAGCAGAAACAGGCGGCGGGGGCTTCCTGACTCGCCCTCTCCTCCAGGCTGCGGCTCATCCATGATGCCAGCTCGAGGGTCACCCACGCCTTCCCTTCTGGTCCACTCTGCCCCAGGCCCGCTCTCTGCCTCTCCAGCCCCGAGGCCCAGGGTGCAGGTCTATGGTGGGCAGGTGAGGGGCCTGGCTCTGGGGGCTGAGGCCCAGGCTGCAAACTGTACCCAGGGCAGAGAAAAGACACTAATTCTGCACACCAGCGACCTTCCTCCAGCTCTGTGCCCTCAGGTCACGAGGCCAGGGCCACAGACTGGCTGTGATTCTAGAACCATCATCTCAGCTGAAGAGCGGTCCCTAAGGGACAAGTTTCTACCTCAAATCTTTGAAGATGTGATGCAGTAGGGATGTTGGGGTTAACCAGGTGGGCCCCACATCCAGGGACTGTGTTCTCATGCGAGAGGGAGATGGGGGTGATGTGCCCAGGGTGACAGGCCCCCGGGAGCTGGAAGAGGAAGCGGGGACCCCCAGAGCCCTTACAAAGAGGTCCTGCTGACCCTGCACTAGGACTCTGGCCCCTGACTGAGAAGGGACCATTTCTGTGGTTTTAGGCCACCCAGTGTCGTCATCTGCCCCAGTAGGCATGGACACAGCAGCCACCACTCCCTGGGCCACACAAACGCCGGCTCCTCTCCTGAGATGCCCCAGGTCTCCCTCAGTAGCGCTGACCCTGGCCATGCCCCCGGCACCAGGCCAAGGGCTCCATGAACACAGAAACCAGCTCAAACCAGTCAGGGCAGCAGCCAAGCTGGCTTCCAGGGGCACCTGAGGGGGCCAACGGACAGGCCAGCCTGGGAGTCCCCCAGCCTGCCTGCAGCACACCAGGGGGTACAGCTGCTGGTCCCCAGGGTCTCCAGCCACCAGCAGCCATGAGGTTTGGGGGGAGACAGTTCCCAGAAGTCTGCCCGGACCTGACGCGGGACCAGGCCACCGCCAGCCAAGCACAGGCCCCAGGCGGGTGCTTGCTTCATGGCACTGATTCCAGACCTCGTGCAGAAGCACGGGCAGCCCTGGAGCACCCTCCCAGGGTTTCTGGCAGCCCAGGGCAATCGTAACAGCATGTGCCAGGCTTCTGCACAGGCGAGTCGTGTGTGATGCTCAGGACGTCCACCTCCAGGAGGAGGCCACACACACAGACCACCTTGGTGGAGGCCTCCATGCCACCCCAGAGAAGACAGCAGGTCTCCGAGGTCCGCAGAGAGGATGACACGCCCTCTGCCCGGCTCAGAGCACTGCAGGAACTCGAACAGGGCTGCCTGCCGAGCCACCATGGCTGTGGCCCCTGGTCTCCTACGGCCACCTCTGACTCCCCTGCTCCAGAGCGAGGGCCTAGCACTTGCCTGGCAGAGGATTCAGTGTCCCATCTCGTCCACCCTGGACACACAAGCAGGCAGGCGTGAAGGCCAGGGTCAGCGGCACGGGAGAGGCATGGTGGAAGGAGGGGCCGGGGGCCTCCATGCCCACCCCAGCCAGAACAAGGAGAGGACATGGGGCACTGAGCCCGGCAGCCAGCACGCTGTCCTGGTCACCTCAGCCCTGGAGGGGCCTGGCCCTCAGGAGGCAGCGTGCCTTTGGTAGAGGGAAAGGGGCCTGGCAGCAGGGCTCGTGACACACATCGCTGCTTTCCATTTTGTCCTTCAGTCTGAACGCTGCGTGACTCTGCAGGCTGCAAACTGCTGAGATGCCAGGGTCCCTCCTTCTGTCCCCAAGTGGCCTGAGCCCTTCCAGCCCAGAGGGGCACAGCAATGGGTCCCCAGGCCCATGCATGAGCCCGGTCAGCTCAGGGGCCCCACCTCCCGGATACTTACAGTACCCACACCTGGTCCCGCCTTCGAAGATGAACCCATTGGGCACAGCCCCGTAGCGCCGGAGGTTGGACAGCTTCCACTGCCCCATGACGGCCGGGGGGACGTCCCTGGCCAGGACGAGGACGTCGTTGCAGAGGTGGAGGGTGGCCGGGCCACTCTCCAGCTTGGTGCCAGGAGCCACCGTCACGGGGAACCTGTGGACTGGAGGGAGAGCAGGGGCAGAGGGCGTCATGGGGGTGGTGAGGGGCAGGCGAGGGACAGGCGTGGCCCTCAGCAGCTGCTGGCCCTGTTCATGCAACTGGGGCAGCACAGAGGATGCAGTGGGGACCACGGCTTGCCCATGGGGCCTCCCCTCCTGCCCCACTCTTTCAGGAACCACTGTAGCTAAGACAAGAGCTACGGGGCTGTGTACCGGCCACCTCGCCCTGACGGAGCAGCCGCAGAAGCTCGGCGGGTGTCTGTGTGCAGAGGGGGAAACTGAGGCTCAGGGGGCCCAGCACCCTGGGAGCAAGAGGACTGAGGTTTGTGCCTCAGCCTGCACCCCAGCTCAGCCTGGCCCTGGGCCCTGCTGGGGTTGGGACCCACTGTCCCTGCTTAGCTCGGCCTGACACCAGCACCCTGCTCCCCTGCCCTACCCCAGGAGATAGCCCAGCTTGGGAAGAGACGATGCCTGCTGGCCTCTGCCCCCTGTGCCCCCAGTCCTGGAGATGGAGGGTCCCTAGTTCCAATGCCACACCACACCCCCAGCACCCGCAGCCCTGCAGGGCCATGTCGGGGTCGCTCAGGGTGTCTGTGTGCGGCCTGGGCGGCCCCTGGCTGTGATGACCCTTGCCTAGGCCGTGAAGCAAAGGGGGCACCACAGGGCTGGGCTAGAACTCCACTGGAGAGCCTCCCGGAAAGACAGCGCCTCCCCACTGCCCTGGACCAGGGGCCCGCTGGGCTCTTGTCCCCGAGCGGGGAGGGGAGCCGCCGCCTCCGCTGCAGGTGCCACTCACCCTCACCGAGCGCAGAGCGGATGCGGGTGTCCCAGGCACACATGGCCTCGCGGCTGTCGAAGCCCAGCATGATGGCCTGGGACAGGCAGACGATGGCCAGCGTGTGGGCCAGGCCCTCGTAGGGCAGGCCGGGCTCTAGGCCGCAGATGTCTGCCAGGGTCAGGCTGCTGCGCTCCCCGAGGCCCCGAGTGCGCTCGGACCTGTCCTTGTAGACCAGCATCAGCAGACAGTCTGTGTAGACAGGAGAGGCA